TTAATATATGACTGGTAATCTGCAGCCACGTGTACATCTGAGAAGGGTTCAGTAAATGGCAAATGTCATTCTCACTGAAAGGGAGACATAGGACTGAGACTAGATATGAAGCTAAAGTGAACAAGACGAAGACCTGTGATCTTAAATTAGGCTGGAGTGATGGAGAGGGCACCTACCAAAACAGTTAAAACATGTGGGGAGATCTGGGAGAAAGGGAGAAGTTTTCCATGTAGTGCAGATGAATGAAAAATGTTGATTGGCAAGGTAGGTGCTGGTAGCTCGTGTTTGTAATCCTAGTTACTCAGAAGGCTGAGATCTGTTGCACTGAGTATGAGAGCTGAAAGCCTGCAGGGGGGGCGGGGGGGGGGAGAGGGCAAGGGCAGGGGGGAAGTCCATTAGACTCCATATCCAAAATAACCAGCTGGAGGTGTAGCTCAGGACAGTAGAGAACCAATCAACAAAGTAAGCCAAGCAAGCAAGAGAAGCCCTAACTTCTTACCTTGGTACTGGCAAGGGGAAAAAATCCTTCAGCTAAAATTAATATATATGAAAAGTTATTATCAGTTACTAGTCCTTGCCATGTGGGATTGTAGGACTCAGTTTCTGGTCACAAGAACAGAGCCCAGACTCCTGGTCTTCAGAGATGCCACAGATGGAAGTTTTGTCAGAAGGCTTGGATTGGAAGTCCCAAATTAGGACCCCAAAATGGCAATGTACCCTTAGTTGTAACTTTCAAAATATAATAAAATACAAACTTCACAAGCATGCTGGGCAGAGATGTTACATTCCTGGATATGTGAACTCAATCACAGTGTAGCAGCTGAAAGACACAAATTCTAAGTCCAGCCCCTCAATGCTGGTGATTTATACCTAACCTACCATGGGTTAGTTTTAAAATTCTTTAGGCCAGTGTGGTAGCTCAAACCTGTCATCCCACCTATGCAGGAAACTTAAATAGAAGTTCAGGCTGGCCCACATAGAAAACTGCAAGTCTGGGGCTGGGAAGGTGGCTCAGTGGTAGAGCGCTTGCCTTGCATGCATGAGGCCCTGGGTTCAATTCCTCAGCACCACGTAAGCAAAAAGAAAAAAGCCAGAAGTGGCACTGTGGCTCAAGTGGTAGAGCACTAGCCTTGAGTTGAAGAGCTGAGAGACAGCGCCCAGGCCCAGAGTTCAGGCCCCACGACCGGATCCAAAAAAAAAAAAAAAAGAAAAGAAAACTGCAAGTCTCTGCTAGGTGCTGATAGCTTATGCCTGTAAGTCCAGCTACTTGGGAGGCTGAGATCTGAGGGTCATGGTTCAAAGCCAGCCTGGACAGGAAAGTCCGTGAGACTCTATCTCCATAAACTACTCAGAAAAAGCTGGAAGTGGTACTGTGGCTCAGATGGTACAGCACTAGCCTTGAGCACAGAGAGGTTAAGGGACAGAGGCCAGGCCCTGAGTTCAAGCACCAGGACCAAGAAAAAAAAAAAGTACAACACCCTATCTCAAAGATAAAAAAGGCTGGAGGGTGGCATGACTCAAGCATTAAAGCACTTGCCTAACAAATCCAAATCCCAGTACTGCCAGAATTTTAAGTTTTATTGCAACAATATCTTGATATATACCAAAGAATTTCTTAAATTCTTAAAACTTAGTCCTCCAGTCCTTAGAAAGCTAAAGATTGACCTCCCTTACGACCCAGTCATACCACTTCTAGGCATCTACCCTGAACAACAGGAACCAATATACAAGGACACGTGCACCTCCATATTTATTGCAGCACTGTTCACAATAGCTAGGATATGGAAACAACCTAGATGCCCCACCACAGATGAATGGATCCAAAAATTGTGGTATCTATACACAATGGAATATTATGCAGCCATTAGAAATGACAAAATAATGGCATTTGCAGGGAAATGGATGGAGCTAGAAGGAATCATGTTGAGCGAGGTAAGCCAAGAGCAAAGAGACAAACGGTCTCCCTGATAAGTAGATGCTAAATCCAAAATGTTAGGTGCTACGACAAAACTAACAGGACTTAAGAAACAAAGAACTCCCACTCATCTGGTCAAACCACTACTAAATATCCCCATGCTGCTGATCACATGTATGGTGTATAACATGTGAACACCGTTATATGTTTTTTGTTGTTGTTTTTTTTGTCGGTCGTGGGGCTTGAACTCTGGGCCTGGGCACTGTCCCTCAGCTCTTCAGCTCAAGGTGAGCGCTCTACCACTTAAGCTACAGCGCCACTTCCGGTTTTCTGGTGGTTTATTGGAGAGAGGAGTCTCACGGTCTCTCCTGCCCGGGCTGGCTTTGAACCGCGATCCTCAGATCTCAGCCTCCTGAGTAGCTAGGATTACAGGCGTGAGCCACCAGCGCCCGGCCACCGTTATATGTTATAGACTGTGATAGACAATTTGCTCCAGGAAAGTTAGAATGAACTTGTGACTTTAAATGAGCATCATTATTCCACAATACTGTGAAATTTGGGAAATTATGTAATCACTTAATCACAATCAAAAAAAAAAAAAAAAAAACCTCGGGGAAGGTAGGGGGAAAACAATGGAGGGGGTAACAATGTTCAATAGGAAGTGTACTCATTACCTCACTCATATAACTGTAACCTTCTGTATAGTATCTTTACAATAAATAAAAAAAAAAAAAAAAGAAGCTAAGGGACAGTGCTCAGGCCTTGAGTTCAAGCCCAAGGACTGGCAAAAAAAAAAAAAAAGAGACATCTTATGGGAGAGGGAAAGTAGGAGAAAAATGGGGGAGGGTAAGAATTTTTACAAGAACTGTACTCACTACCTCATGAATGTAAACTAACCCCTCTGTACATCACCTTGACAATAAAATTAATTAAAAAACAAACAAACAAAAAAAAAACTTAGTCCTCCAAAGGCCCATGTGTTAAGGGACTGGTCCCTAGCTTGGCACTGTTGGGAGATGGTAGAAGCATTAAGAGGTGGGGCCTGCTGCAACATCTTTAGGTGGCTGTATTAGTGCCCTCCAGGGAATAACTGAGCCCAGTCTCTTCCTCTTTCCTTTGGGGCATATAGTAAGCTAAGCAGTGATGCTGTACCCAATGCCACAATCTGACAGCTACTTAAGGCCCTAAATCAACAGGGTCAATTAATCATGGGCTGCTTCTGGGGCGTATGGTAAGCTAGGCAGTGTTGTTGTACCCAATGCCACAATATGACAGCTACTTAAGGCCCTGAATCATCAGGATCAATTAATCATAGGCTGAAATAAACTAGCTGACTAGCTAGGATTGAAAGTATAAAATGAAACAAATAGCTCAAGTCCACCATGCTACCACTTAAAACCAGACTCTTCTTCCTGGGACTGGAAAGTGCTTGCCTAGCATGTATAAAGCCCTTGGTTCCATTCCTCAGTACCACATAAACAAAAAGCCAGAAGTGGTGCCCTGGCTCAATGATAGAATGCTAGCCTTGAGCAAAAGCAGCTCTGGGACTGATTTCAAGCCCTAGGGCCGACAAAAACAAACTCTTCTTCCTTAAGCAGCAGCTGTTCTTCCTAATTAGGATTCCACTCAAGGCTCTAGAGCTTTTGCTTTAATGTAACATTTTCTGGGTTGGTCAAGCATCAGCTTCTTGCTTGCTGTCTTGGGGCAAGGACTTCCAGGGACAAGAAGCCAGACAGATCTGGCAGGCATCCACACGCTGTGAGCCATTCAGCAGGGCTCTTGGCTAGTGTGCCAACACTTGAAGTGCATTCCATGGGTATGGAGACATCCCTACAGAATGCCTCCTTTTTCCTTCTCTTTTAGAACATGTATCTGAGCGGCCAATGCCCATTTTGCACAGCCATTAGCACTATTTTTGGTCTGGAGTCTTGCTGGGTCTGGAGGTAAGGACTGAAATACCTTTCCACTGGCAGTTCTGCTTGAGCTGTGTTTTCAACAGCTTGGCAAAGACACCTGCTCTGTCCTCTCCAGAACCTGGGCCTGTTCACTGGCAGACAGCATTGCAGTATGATAACTAAGTCAGTTTCCAGACAGGTTGCAAAAAGTAATATAACTTTTGAAGGAAAAGAAGTTTTTATAGTCATTAGTTTCCTTTGTCATGATTGCTTAGTTTGCACATCAGGATTATCTCAAATATATATCTAGCCAGACACCAGTGGCTCATGCCTATAATCCTAGCCACTCAGGAGGCTAAGAGCTGAGGATCACAGTTCAAAACCAGCCCGGGGAAGGAAAGTATATGAAGTTGTCTAATTGTGTGAATCTTATGGATGTAAAGCTTTAAGGGAACAGGTGTTTTTTTTTTGTTGTTGTTGCCAGTTCTGGGGCTTGAACTGAGAACCTGGGTTCTGTCCCTGAGTCTCTTTGTGTTCAAGGCTAACACTCTATCACTTGAGCCACAGTGCCACTTCTGGCTTTTTTTGAGTAGTTGATTGGAAATACGAATCTCATAGAGACTTTGCTACTCAGGCTGGCTTTGAACCACAATCCTCAGATCTCAGACTTCTAAGTAACTAGGATTACAGGTGTAAGCTACTAGTGCCTGGCTAACAATCAATGAAATACTAAAACCAGGCAGGTGCCAGTGTCATTGCCCAGAATCCTAAATAATCAATAGGCTGAGATCTGAGGATCATGGTTTGAATCCAGCTGGGACAGGAGACTCATTTCCCATTAACCACTAAAAAAGTTCGAAGTGGAGCTGTGGCTCAAGTGGCAGAGCACTAGCCTTGAGTGGAAAAGCTCACAGTGCCCAGGCCCTAAATTCATGCCCCAGGACTGGCACACATGCATGCACAGATGCACATACAATCACAAATTAGTTCTCTTTGGATAATTATCTTTATGAAAACCATAGATCCCAAGTTCAAACCCCATACCAAAAAAGGAAAATGAAAGTAAAACAATACTAAAAACCAGTTTTGTGTGAAATGAGCCAAAGCATGCCAGGTGAGCCACCATGCTATGTGGCCCTGTGTGGACAGGAAGGAACAGTTCCTAGGCCCAATCACCACAGTGACAAAGGTTATTTTCTTAGATATGGACAAACGTCAGTTTAATTGTAAAAGCCTTCATTTACAGCATATTCAACAACAAACAAGCAAGAGAACTTTTTTAATATGAACACATAAAAGTCCTTTCAATTCAAGCAATCAAGACAAAAGCATTCCACAAAGAAAATCACCTTCTTCATTTTTTTCTAAAGCCTGAACGTTGTAAAGATGACTAGGCATACCTGGAAATTCAAAGTAGCAGAATGGACCTTATAGGAAAAAAAGGAAACATGTCTCCATATATTTAGGAAATTACCATATGAGTAAATTCTCCTTGAAAAGTGAGTGGATAACTTTTGTGGATCAAGTTAGGACAGGACACTTAGTAAAGAGAGTTATCAGGTAGGATGGAAACTGGAAGAAAAGGGGCATTAGGTCTCTGACAGTGCCACACTAATCAGTTCCCTTCTAACCAGAGGAGATATCCCCACCACCCAGAACTCATTAAGTTTCTGCTATCCACTGTCCAGTATTGCTTAATACTTGTAATTCAGCCCATGGAGAAAATCCTTGACCAGCAAATTTAAAATGTCATTTATGAAATAGTACGATCATTCTTTCTAACATATATATGAGGGTGCCTATTTACCTAACTAAAGCAATGACTGAGCAATTAATATTCCTTGCTTTTTTTTTTTGAGGATTTGTAAGGATACTAGAATGGTTTAAGAAAAAGCATTATCTAATTTTGATTTTGTCTTACAGTTTCATGAGAAAGAGAAGATAGGGGGAAAATTAACCCATTGCTCAGCTTTGGGACTGAGTAGGTACAAAAGAGGCTTGAAGTCTATCTATATTTCAGGAACACACTAATGGATCTCAATTACACCCCATTCCTATAGAAAGAACCCTACACAGGTACACTACCCCAGAACTCTAGCTAAAAGTACATATATGAGACTACACAAGGTCTCGACATAACTAAATTGTAAAATATAGTATTGTAACAATGGACAACTCAAACAGCTCATCTAGGAACTAAACATACAGAACTATTTTTCAGATGTTTGCAAAGCAGAGCTGCTTCTCCCATCTCCACCACCAGCTCAGGCAGACACATAAGGTGGTGGCGGCGGCTCCTTGGCAGAACCATTTACAGCAGTAGCATCATCGTACGGGGGCAACAGGACCTGAGAAGAAAAGCCGAAGACCAGAGTCAGTGTTTTTAAGTAGATGTATGCTCCCATTCTGAAGCTTAACTTTAATGCATAAACTTTATGCAATTAAGTATTTTTCCATATTGTTGTCTACTAAGCTGACACATCTTTTTTTTTTTTTTGGTCCGGTCGCGGGGCCTGAACTCTGGGCCTGGGCGCTGTCCCTCAGCTCTTCAGCTCAAGGCTAGCACTCTACCACTTGAGCCACAGCGCTACTTCCGGCTTTTTTTCTTTTTGCTTATGTGGTGCTGAGGAATCAAACCCAAGGCCTCATGCATGCAAGGCAAGCGCTTTACCACTGAGCCAACTTCCCAGCCCCGCTGACACATCTTGAATGTTAATGAACAACCTGAAATCTTAAAAAGAAAAATAACAACAACAACAAAAAACCTCTGAAGCACGTGTGGCTCACGTCTGTAATCCAACTCAGAAGGTTGAGATCTGAGGATCATAGTTCAAAGCCAGCCTAGGAAGTAAAAGTCTATGAACTCTTATCTCTAATTAAATACCAAAAGAACTTAAGTGTTGTAGAACACCAGCCTTGAGCAGAAAAGCCCAGGGGTAGCATCCAGGCCCTGAGTTCAAGACCCAAGACTGGCAATCCTCTTTCACCCCTCCAAAGGCAACTAGAGAGCATGACCTCCAGCTCCCCAAGTTTTCCTGTTCCTTCTACCTGCGTCTGTAGTGCCTGAGGGCCATGTCTGAGAATAAGAAGGCACAGTGGGGGGCTGGGAAGGTGGCTCAGTGGTAGAGCACTTGCCTTGCATGCATGAGGCCCTGGGTTCAATTCCTCAGCACCACATAAGCAAAAGAAAAAAAACAGAAGTGGTGCTGTGGCTCAAGTGGTAGAGCGCTTGCCTTGAGCTGAAGAGCTGAGGGACAGCACCCAGGCCCAGAGTTTAGGCCCCACGACCGGATGTCCCCCTCCCCCCCCCCCCCCCGAAAAAAACAAAGGCACAGTGGCACTGCAGAAGAAAAAGGAATTCTGTCTGAGTGTGTGCATGAGTACACACAGGAACCAATCATGAGGTTCAGTGGGGAATGCAAAGGTTTACTTCCAGCTTAGACTTAAAAGACAGTTTCTTAAACTCAGTTTCTTCATCTGTAATAGGGGTAATCTGAGGAGCAGAAGTCTGAAAGCCACTTTCCATACCTGAGTGGTATATAATATTATTTATAAATGATTTATTTATTTATTTATTGGTCGGTAATGGAGCTTGAACTCTGGGCTTGTGCGCTGTCCCTCAGCTCTTCAGCTCAAGGCTAGCGCTCTACCGCTTGAGCTACAGTGCCATTTCCGGTTTTCTGGTGGTTTATTAGAGACAAGAGTCTCACAGTCTTTCCTGCCCAGGCTGGCTTTGAACCATAATCCTCAGATCTCAGCCTCCTTGAGTAGCTAGGATTACAGGCGCGAGCCACCAGCGCCCAGCTATAAATGGTTTTATATCTTAAGCACATACACACGAGAATTGTTTCTAGTTGTTTATGAACCACTAAAATAAGAAAACCATTAAAAACAATCATAAAAATACTAATGGCGCTGATGTTGGCTTTTTGTATGTATGTGTTCAGCAGGATGCGGGGGACAGCCATCCTGGAGCTTGAACTGAAGGCCTGGGCACTGTATCTGAGCTTTTTGTACTCAAGGCTAGTCCTCTATCACTTGAGCCTTAGCTTCACTTCTGGCCTTTTTCATGGTTAACTGGAGAAACTTCTTCATAGGCTGGCTTTGAACTGCTGATCCTCAGGTTCCAGCCTCATGAATAGCTTAGGATTACAGTTGTGAGCTACCAGCACCTGGCTATTGTTGCCTTTCTTTAGAGTAGAAAACAAAATGGAATTAATCAACTTAAAGAGTGATCATCCAATGTCTAGCCTACTACTGTATAATGAATCTAGTGTGGGACAAGCAAGGTGGGTACAAGAGGTAAAGACCCTTCCTTTTAGGAGTTCAAGTGAGAAATGAAATTAAACCTTTTCTACCTTAAATGCTGCATAGGAAGAGAAAGAATATTAACAGATAAGACTCCTGGCATGATTTCTACTATCTACATCATTAGGCTTAAAAGGTAGAACATATTCATCCACTCAGTAAGTTTTCATGTATCCTTTAGGAGCCTCAGAGCACTAAATGTTTTTAAGTTCCTGTCTTCCCTCCCTAACCTCACATAGTAGCCCTGCCTCTGCACTAACTCTGTGTACTTTACTTACACAGTAGATGGATAACTGACAAAACACCCCACAGGCAATAAATAACAACTGGCCACAATATTCCTATCAGCCTTATGGCCTTTGCTCCAGAAAGTAGCAGTAATATTGTGCCTGTGTCCTAAATACTTCAAGTATTAAATCTAGGGCAAATGTTCAAATGTTGCCCAGGGACAGGGAAAGATAGATATAAAATGCACTCATAGGGCCCGGCACCGGTGGCTCACGCCTGTAATCCTAGCTACTCAGGAGGCTGAGATCTGAGAATCCCAGTTCAAAGCCAGCCCGGGCAGGAAAGACCTCCTATCTCCAGTAAACCACCAGAAAACTGGAAGTGGCACTGTAGCTCAAGTGGTAGCGCTCGCCTTGAGCTGAAGAGCTGAGCGACAGCGCCCAGGCCCAGAGTTCAAGCCCCATGACCGACCAAAAAAAAAATGCACTCACAGGGCTGGGAAGTTGGCTCAGTAGTAGAGTACTTGCCTTGCATGTATGAGGCCCTGGGGTCCATTCCTCAGCACCACATATGTAGAAAAAACCTAGAAATGATGCTGTGGCTCAAGTGGTAGGGCACTAGCCTTGAGCTGAAGAGCTGAGGGACAGAACCTAGGCCCAGAGTTCAGCCCCTCCCCGCCCCCCCAAAAAAGCACTCATGGCTGGGTGCTAGTAGTTCACGCCTATAATCCTACCTACTCAGAAGGCTGAGATCTGAGAATTACAATTTAAAGGCAGCCAGGGCACGAAAGTCTATGAGACTTTTATCTCCAATGAGCCAAATTACACAGTGATAAGAACACTAGCCTTGAGCAAAAGGTCAGCACCTCGGCCTTAAATTTAGGCCTCAAGACCAGTGTGTACACATACATGTGTGCATGCACGTGTGCACACACACACGGACCAGGATGCCTAGACTAAAGCAAGGAGGCAGCTGCAGGGTTCTCCCCAACCTCTGACCTACTCACATGCTCAGCACGTATGCACTCAGGGCACACAGCAACAGCAATATAGATCTGAGAGCCTCTACTGAGGGGCTTACAATTTAGCAGGAAACAGCAATCAAATGGAATGTGATCCGTGTGGGAGTGTGACAGGATGTTGAAAAGGGAAAACCAGTTCAGGAAGGGGTCAATAGAGGAAGGTCTCTCAAGAAGATAAGGGGTGGTGGACAGGAAGAGTACAGAGAAGTGTACAGAGAAGTGAGTACACCCTAAAGGTACGAAAGCAGAGTAATCTGCAATAGTAACTGCTATGGGAGTGTTGGGAGAGATGCAGCTGGAAGGCAGGCAAGTATAGAGAATACCTTGGGTACAACCTCAGGAAGTTGTATCCAGAAGTTACACTACAGAAATCCTACAAATTAGAGATATGTGTTCTCCTCTGCATCTGCATACCACTTAGGAATTATATCTCTAGTACACATGTGTGTACAGTTGCCATGTATGATGGTAAGAAGCTGAAGTAACTATGATCAGTATGGGCTGGGAAGGTGGCTCAGTGGTAGAGTGCTTGCCTTGGATGCATGAGGCCCTGGGTTCGATTCTTCAGCACCACATAAGCAAAAAGAAAAAAGCCGGAAGTGGCGCTGTGGCTCAAATGGTAGAGCGCTAGCCTTGACCTGAAGAGCTGAGGGACAGTGCCCAAGCCCAGAGTTCACGCCCCACAACGGACCAAAAAACAAAAACAAAACAAAAAAACGAAACAAAACAAAAAAGTTAAAAGCTGGTAGTTCATCCCTGTAATCCTAGCTACTCCAGAGGCTGAGATCTGAAGATGATGGTTCAAAGAAAGCCTGGGCAGGAAAGTCTTGGGAGATAAGACTCTTACCTGGGCAGGAAAGTCCATGAGATTCTTCTCCAGTTAACCACCAGAAAACCTGAAATGGCACTGTGGCTCAAAGGAGTAGAACATTAGCCTTGAGCAAAAGAGCTCATGGAAAGTACCCAGGCCCGAGTTCAAGATCCAGGATGGACCCACCCCTCACCCTACCCCACCCCACCCCCCCCAAAAAAGAGAGAGAGAGAGAGAAAAGAAATGTTAAGGGCTTGAATTCTAGGCCTTGGCACTGTCCCTAAGCTCTTCAGCTCAAGGCAAGCACTACCATTTGAGCCACAGCATCATTTATGATTTTCTGGTGGTTAACTAGAGAACAGTCTCGTGGACTTTCCTGCCTGGGCTAGCTTTGAACCATGATCCTCAGATCTTGAGGATCCTCCTAAGTAGCTAGGATACAGGTGTGAGCCACGAGCGCCAGACAAAAAAGACAATTTTCACACACACACACACACACACACACACACACACACACACACACACACACACACACACAGTTAAAATCTTTTGGAACAAAATTCAACACTCAAGACAAATCCTCCAAAATGTTCATACAATGTTTTTTTTAATGGTGCAAATCTGCCTTCGGCTTGTCATATAAGGCTTTCATAATGAATTTAGTAATCTGGTCCTATCCTCAAATTCAGGTTTCGCTGCCAATTAGTACTTTAATATGTTGATAGCCTTTTCTCTGAATTATCCTATTGCTTTCCACCTGTGATGCAAAGTCAAGTAGAGGAAGTCTTCCTGCCACTGAAGCAGCTGGCATCCTGTCATATTTGGGTTCATTATCACTGCACAGTAAATGCTGACCGTAAAATATTCCTTACGTGACACCTCTTGCTATGCATTACTTTCAAAAGTTCTCCAGATGGAATTGATCCTAAATTCATGAAGACACAGCGTCATCTCCTTATCTAAATGATGTGGATATACTA